TAATAACAATTATAATTATATGCAAACATTTTATAATAATAGACATAATGATGATATAGGCCTAATGATAATGATGGTAGTAGTGTAGTGAATATTACGACGACGATGCTGACGATAATAATAATTATGTGCACACACACACACACACATCGAAATAATGATGATGATAATAATGACAATAAAGACTCTTTAGCCTGAAATATGTTTTTTAGTCTAAAAACGTGGGAATTTTGATAATGTGTTTAACTGTGTATTCTTTGGTGCTTCGACGACAAGCATGCGCACAAAGTGACCACAGAAAACTTTTTGGAGTTTCGACGTTGGTGGCGTTTGTCAATAACAACTGCAACCGGAAGTGATGATTCAGGCACACACGGTCAGCTACGTTGACGATATAAAAACCGGTGATATTTTAGTTTATTTGTAATATAGTTTCAAAATAATATATAGGATACTTCTGTTTAATTACTAGATCCAAACTGTTTAATAAAAAAAGCAGGATAAGATGATGAAGTCAACGCCAGAACCAAAGAACTTTGGTAGCGTAGGAGGAGATGGACAGCCGCCGAACACACAGGACATGCAGCGGGACGGTCAACCGCCGTCACAGGAAATGGGCTTCTGCTTTCGTATGTTCGTTAAAGGGGTCGGTGCTTTCTCAGCCCTAGGTATGTGATGTAAAGCGTGTGTGATATAATAGTATATACTAGGCCTGCTAATACAGTACATCATTGTTGCTTAACAATCGAATGCCGTAGTGGTTAGTGTTCAGAAATACGGTCCAGGGTAATCATACAGTGTCAATCCAAGTAATTAATATACTACTTTCATAATTATTAGGCCTGGGCCTAGTTAATGCTAGGGGTCTAGGTTTAATTATTAAAAAACCATAAATAACCCGGTTCAAAATCCTTTAGGTCTAGTTACTTATTGCCAGTCATGAGACTGCTGTGGCATGGTGTTGAATATTAACAGGTACCAGTACTGTTATTCTATTTATATTTTTGATAATTATTATTTTATTTAAAATATAAACAAGGCCATAAATATAAAACTCATCTTGTAAGGTAAAATAATCCTAAATAGCTTTGTTAAGTAAATGTGAAGATCCTGAATAATGATAAGGCAAGTTAACATACACGTTTTAATAACCACATTTTATAGATTTTAAGTAAACAGTATGAATTTGCTTATATTTGGTTATATTTTTGTTTTGTAGTTTTGATGGCTCTTGGTTTACTTAATTGTATTACAATTAGTGGACCATGTATCTTATCAGGAGTCCTTATGATGTGAGTTTACTTCATTAATAAGATGAACATTTTGTTGCTAAAAAATGTTTAGTCTAATGCAAGCTGTTCAACAGTGGGTTCCCCACCACCGTCGGACCTGGACCCCCGCCGGATGCCACGACGAGGCCGTCAGATCAAAGCTAATGATTTGCCTATCCAAATAACAATATTTTGATTACCAATGCCTAATAATTGTGGTCTAAAAGCACAATTGGGCCATAATTAAGCCAAAACAATCTCACCGTGAACCCTACCAGGGATTTTTATTCCGGGACCCTTGCCGAGGCTGTAGTCTGACCCCTGTCAGACATGTCTGTCGGCAAATTTCTGGAGTCACCATGCAACATAGGCCTTTGGCCTATTTTAAATTAATAGAGTTATGACTCAACAACCCATAGTTACCGTCCTTAGTGATTACACCAGTTGGCTGGGAGGCAGGCCCATGGGGTCCAGGTTTCAGTCACACAATCAACGGTTGGTTGTGACAATGAACATGCAAGACTGCATGCGACTCTTAGTTTTTACAAAGTGCGTGTTGGTTAGCTGGGTCTTTTGGTCGGGAAAGAGAAATTTTGTCAGTGAATTGATTCTCAAACAAGATAACGAAAGCTCTCTAATGGTTGAAGTTAGACTTGTGCTAAATGCGTGACAAATTTATTATCACATTCACACGTGTTTGTGCAAAATGTGTGTTTCATAACTTTAAAATACTGGCCGTCCCGCACGATGCAAGACAGTTGGTAACTGAAAACCTATGTGACCTGAGTTGTGTATGCAAAGTCACAATAAGCATGACACTTGCCTTTTCACTGGAAAGGCATATTTATTTAGTTTATATTTGGATGTACAGTAATTTAAGCTTGTTAAAATTGTATGTATCACATCTGCACTATTATTCGCAAAGATTGACACTACTGAATCAGTAAAACAACATAATGATTAAGCAATGTACATTTTATGAACCATAGCTCACTTAAATCTCCTTGTTTATCTTTCCTCTAGATTCTTTGGGTTGCTAGTATTAATGCTGGAAGTACCAATTTGTTGCTCATTTTTAGAAATCACAGAGCCAGTCAACAAATGGATTGAAAGTAGACCCCCATGGCTAAAGGCTATCTCATATTTCATGTAAGTATAAAGATCATTCACAGGGTATAAAGCCATCTGTATCTGCTCGCTGTGAGTTTTGCAGCCTGCTGATTGTCTGTGGCCGGCAGTCTTGAGTAAGTGATCATTAAAACAGTGTTGCGTTCTCTATAGATTAGCATTGGTTAATGATGTATGGATGTTACTCCTCCACTAAAGTCTTAATAACTTGCATATACCATCCTAAACTATGCAGCATGCGGTAGGAACATTACGATAGGATGATCCTAGTGTCCAGCATACCCCAAACATGAATGACTAAAGCTCAGTTGTTATCTGTAATCCAAAAAGTGCCTGTTTGATGAAATGAGTAAGCCAGGTTTTGACTAGGTAGAGAGAAAAAAATTAAGAAAAAAGTTGCAGACATGAAAGAGGGAGATAGGCTCAGTAAAAAAGACGATGAGTCGTCCTACCATCTTTGTTGTTTATTGTTAATACTGTTATCATAATAACTGAGGATAGACAATATATACAGAATAATGTTATTTTTTTGATTTACAGACTTGCAATCATTCCCGTCCTATTTTGCCATGGAGTTATCGTCTTCCTGGGAGTTTTACCAGTGTTTTGTACAGGTGTTTTGTATGGATTAATATTTGTTGGTAAAAAGTAAGTATTTTATAGTTTTACAAACAGTGATGCTACAAAAGTCTACCAACAATTGGGTCAGACATCCCACTGACATTCATTTAGTTTATTAATTTACTTAATACATAATTATTTGATAAAGATAACAATGAAAATAAAATGTTTATTTTAAAAAAATGCCATTTTCTTAGGCTTTAGTACATGTTGCTCATCCATCCCATACCCATCCACCTCCACTAGCCAGTATTAAACAAAAAGAAATGTATATCATTAATATTGAAATGCTACAATAACTTTTCATTTGTAACTTTTTTGTGATGTACATGAAGTTAGGGAGGCTGATGATGTTGAATAGGATGATGATGATGATGATGGTTTGATGAAGATGATGGTTATGATGAAGATGATGATGATGATGATGATGATGATGTAACTGTTTTTTTCAGGTTTTTTCGTGATGTTTTCGTTGTGTCTTGTGTTGTTTCAGTTGTTGTTAAAACAAATAATACAGTATATGATATGATATGAAGATGGTGATGTGACACTAGCAACAGCAACAACATTGAAACATTAATAATTTCTTCACTTTCTGTTGCAGAGGAGATGCTGTCCAGTCAGCACATGTGAATCGAAAAATGGAGATGAGCAAGTTAGTTGCGAACGAGCAGCCGATGGCTACCAAAGATATTCCTTGAGATTAATAACTAATTTGCATGCTACTTTGCATGTCTGTCAGTTTTTGTAGGTTACATTCCACAGGACCATTCCACAGTTTGAAATCATTCTCACACCATGACTGCCTGCCATCCACATGTATACTCATGTTACACATGTTGTGTATTGTAAAGAAATATATTTGCATCCCAGCCAGCACATCAACCACTTGTCTGGTAGTGCAGGGAAGATCTATAATCTAAAGTGCTGTTCACACCAATTTACATGTGGCAAATACCTGTGAATTGCCCATATATGGCTGTGATATGACATTATCATGCCCATGTATGTGTAAATAACTGATATTTGTCACATGAAACTTGACAGAGCTAAAATTGGGTTTTATTTTGTGATATTTCTTCATAATATTTTCCAGCACAATATGTTGTACTAGATGACTCTTACCTAGATATTGGCTAAGGGCAAAAAAATTCCATCATTCCCCATAAAAATCAATATGTTATTTTACACAAAGCCTTTACAAATATGCACCATAATATCCTAAAGTGTGTTTTTTTACATTGATGCCATGTGTATTAAACAAGGCACATGCTGCATCGGCTGATTCCATAGAGAGTACAATACGATGAGGTGTGCGCGACTGATGGTTTTCCATGACGCTTAGACTGTTAACACAAACATCAGCAGAGGGTGTTGCGTCATCAAGCACTCCCCCAGAGTAGATATACGGTGGATCCATATAACCCAATGCAGTGTGTGTCCAGCTTTTAATCAACAATACCGCCATTGTCTACATAAGGTGCTACCTGTACAGTACTTGTATTATTTGCCTTGTGGTAGATTATTTTTATCACTGACATGCTATTGTAATGGCTATCGGATGTCCATGCTACTACTGTTTATCTTCTTCCAATTTGTCTATTACAGTAAAAGCTATCGTCCTTCACATTACATTATATTAAAACACTTCAGTATTATTCAAATACTGGTACAGGTATATAAATATAAAAAGTTACATAAAAATGTACATAAAATTGTAAAAAAATATGTATAATTAAAATGTATTTAAAATAGAATTCCATACAATTTATTAAGCATATGAAATTTAATTTGTTTCAGAGGAACCACCTATATAGGGATACTTAAAGATGTTACATGCTCTTTGAGAGAACAGTAACTTTTGCTTTTGTTGAAAATAAACCAAGGGGTGGAAAATATATTATCCACATTGGGTTTGAATCTAGGACCAACTCCCATTTTTTTGATACACTATCTGAGCCAAGTCTGTATATCTCATTAGATTTTGTTTTTTTTTGGTTACCACATAAGGTATTACAAAATACACAAGTTCACCATATATAACAAAGTTGGTTGTATACAACTAAGCTTATCCTCATTGTGGATACAGCTACCAAATGGTGTTGCAGGTTCATATTTTGAAAATACAATTTAACACAAAATTTTAAAACTGAAATTTCTATAGAAAGCAGAATGCCCTCCAATTCTGCTTCTTATTTTAACCAATATTAATGTAAAGAATATATTTTAAACAATAAATCAGTAGTATACCTATTTAAAAATATGTATTGCAATCTATGAAAAAGTAAATGAAAATATATATATTGTTGAATTAACATTTGTATATAAATAGTAATAATAATACTAGTGTAATTTTATATAGCGCACATCACTTGATATGTGGACTAGGAACTCGATCAATGACTTTCTTTGCCCCTAAGGGTCCTTTCGTGTCTGTGCTACCCAGTAATATTAATGTAAAGAATATATTTTTAACAATAAATCAGTAGTATACCTATTTAAAAATATTTATTGCAATCTATGAAAAAGTAAATGAAAGTATATATATTGTTGAATTAACATTTGTATATAAATAGTAATAATAATACTAGTGTAGTTTTATATAGCGCACATCACTTGATATGTGGACTAGGAACTCGATCAATGACTTTCTTTGCCCCTAAAGGTCCTTCTGTGTCTGTGCTACCCAGTAACCCGGTACCAGCAACTCTTGTCATCCGTGGCAGGGGCTGTCTGTAGTGTTCCAGTACACCGGGGTATCCCCCTACTCGTCTTGAAGGATGTACTGGGTTCTTTATAGTGCACACGAGCCATTGTATACACTGGGCCTACAGTTTATAGTCCTTATCCGAGAAGACTTGTTCTACCACCAGAACCATAGGCGAGTGTGCCGTTCGAACCAGCGCCAATATTATGGCTATAGCTTGTGGCGCACCTGCTAACCGCTCGGCTATTCGACTCACCAGTAGATAGCAATGGTTTTTTAAAAGCTTATTGGGGAATAGAATAATGTCATTGCTGCTGTTTATAATTATATTAATTTATTTGATGCCAGTTTGTATCACATGATACCGTAAACCTATAAATAGCAACAACTTGTGACTTGGAATAGTATAACTTTAAATGCAGTCTTCATTTTATATTAAATAGGTTTTACTTAAAAGTTGAAGATTTGCTGAAAAACAAAACCGTAATTGGAGTTAAGGGTTATTATATTGCAAATCACTGTGGAACATGTAGTGCAGGTTGCTTAAGAGTGAGCCCTCTATAGTTTCTCTAGAGTATATTACAAAACAATGTTAACATAAAGTATATAAAAGTGTATAAACATTAATGTTAAGTCTACTACATTTGAGTAAAAATATAAAACGAAAATAGTAGTAATGAATAAGAATTTGAATCAGTAAAAGGAAAGTAAATAGACGTATAGGAGTATAGTAGGCAAATTATAACTAAATACATATTGAGGAGACCAATTAAACAAAATAAGCTTAAAATATTGGCTTTAAATATATGGAGGGAATACTACGGAGGGAGTATTTAACAGAAATTATCAGGTATAGGACAAGTGTGTGTCTGTGCGTTGCAATTACACACTGTTGTTCAGAATGAGTCGATATGGGTCTAGTGCAATCTCAACATTTACATTAAAATTGTCATTAACATCCATTAGAATAAGCAGAGAATAAGTATGTAAGTTATGATTAAACGGCATTCAATGATAGTACATAAAATATATGTGCATAATTTGTGATGTAGTTGTTGAGTTTATCTCTTGTATGGCATAATTTAATTATTATGTTTATTGGGTATAATTGAAGGAGGAAAAAAATATTGTTGCTAATATGTAGCATGGAGATTAATTGAGGATTTTAGAGAATCAGAGAGTATGTAATTAAAATGATGACATTCAATGACAGTACATAAAATAGAGTTATATAAGTGTCATGGTTCACTTACTGTTCATTCTTTGTATGGTATAAGTTAATTACTATGTTTATTGGGTAAAATTTAAGGAGAGACAAAATCACTTAATATTGTTGCTACACTGTCAGTAGCATAGAGGATATTAATAGAGTAAGTATAATAGGCCTATGTAATTAAAATGATTAATGAATTTAATGACAGTACATAAAATGGAGGTGCATGAAGTGTCATGGTTCAGATACTGTAAGTACTTATTCAGTTCATTCTTTGTATGGTGTAACTTAATTATTATTCAATATTGGGTATTATTTAAGGGGAAAATTATTAGAATTTTGTTGCTACACAGTAGTGTGGAGTTAAATGGAGAATGTTAGGGAAGTAGAGAGGCCTATGTAATTAAAATGATTAGTGCATTCAATTATTACAGTACATAAAATAAAGGTGCATAAGGTGTGATAGTTCTGTTAATTATCTGTTAAGTCCATCTCATGTGATATAACTTTATTATGTTTATTGGGTATAATTAAAGGAGAAAGAAAGTTAAAATTATGTTATGTCATGACAAGTTATGCTATTTTTGCTATGCAGTTACTTTGGAAAAATGAAATTTATAATAAGTACTCTATGACAGTTGATAAAGGCATTAACAAGAGGACTTTCAATAAAGTGTGACGATTCAGTTAATTACTGTACAATACTTATTTTATCTTATCTTCCTTATGGAATAATGCATGATGCATCTTTGAAGTGATACTTAATCTTAAATTATTTTATCATTATTTATCATTTAAAATTGATTATCAAACATTTCTAGGAATGGAACGCTCTATAACACTGCTCAATGAAAGTATTATAACGTATACCTGTTTCTGAATTTGGTTTTTGATTATTTTGAAAATGAAGTTGGGGTGCAAACCTATTAGAGAATTGTGCAATTCCATCGACTTATTAGAGTTACTGTAACCAAAGTATGAAATTATATCTTTAATATAAAAACAAAATCTAATTTAGTGGGATTTTTTCTACGGTAATTATGTATCGTGAATATACATTATTTAATAATACTAAAGAAAAGATTGTGGTATATGACTTGCTTTTGTTTTGACTTTTATAATTTAATTGGTCTAATTTATACTTAACAGTTTAGTACTTTGCACCTGTGGTGCACATTTTTAAGGTTATAAAGCGCATACCAAGTCTCTGTAATTCCAAAGAAGCTTTGGTGGGTCATACCACGTACTTCAATTAAACCAAAAAAGCAACAAACATATACAGTACAGTCAAACACAACAAAGATCACAACATACCAGTAGGCCAATAATTAAAAAAACGTAAATGTATATTATACTACATGCTTTAAAAAGAAACTATCCCCGCCGGATACCTGCATCCTGGTATTTTGAAGAGGTGTTGGGATATGGAAATGTGCTGTATGACGGACTTGAACTACGTAACATGGTTTTGTTTGCATTTCTGTCAAAAGATCTCTGGGGTAGGCCTATGGCTATAATATTTAGTAACAATTGTCTTAACTTCGTGTACTGTACAGCCATAATTTTGAAATAATTCCATACATAAGATAAGTTTGAAATGAGATGTTTTTCTCAGACGTTTTCAAAAATGATTATACAAATTCATCGAAGCGTTTTGTGACTTCTTTTGTCAGAGAAAAAGTAGTCGACCCTAAGACATAACTTAATTTAATATTAATATTAGCATTCAAAAATTTATCCCAAACAATGTTAATTTATTTTATATTTAAGCTTATTTAAACTCTTCTAAAAGTATGTTTAGGAAAGTGTGACACACAAATTAAGTGTCTTATGTCTTATTAACAAAGAATAGGCCTACATTTTGAGCCATTTTTTGTCTAGAAACTCTACTAAGGACAATGTATTAGAGCGAAATACGCTGTGATTGAATTTCAGTGATACACCTTCAAAATCTAATTTAATAAATAATTTTCAAATTTAGTTTATCTAAATAATGAATAATCACCGAGGTGTCCTTACATTCAATATCCTCTCTCAAGTTAGGTCTATTATTAATGTTTATTTCGTTTAGTTTTTTCTAATAATAGTATTTGTTATTTCCCTGATTGTTAGAGATAAGAATATTAGAAGGTACTCAGATTCCCATTTAATAAAAATATCTGAAATACATTTTAACAATTTAACGAAAGTTATTGGGAACACATTGCAACTGATTTGTTGAATTTAGGACTTTTTGGCCAACAATACGGTTCCATTTTAATTAAACGATGTAAACAAATTATTACACCTTAATATATAATAATTAATGCAAAGAAATAATTTATTGCATTAATGACCGATGCATGGGCGTCGATTAGTGGGGACAGGGGGACGCGTCCCCCACTTTTCAAAGTGGGGGGAAACATCATATCGATTGTCTCCCCCACCCCCCACTTTTCACCAATCTTCTATAATTAAAACCCCACTTTTACAAGCGAATGGAAAGAATAACAATTACGCATGACTCATGAATTTTGTCTGTTCACTTTTCTAAGTGCGGTACGTATTTTCCGGACCAAAACCAAGTAAAAACGCAATTGTTTAAACATTTTGTAACCATCTCAGAAACCCACTAGGGTGCAACGACTATCAGAGGCTAAATTTATTGTGAAAACAATGTACGGTACTGAACGTTGTTGAAATTGGAAGCATGTATCCTTATTAGGCCAATATTTTTACAAACTCAAAAGTGCACAA